ACCGGAGGTGGTGGCGGTGGTGGCGGTGGTGTCGGCGACAACGGCGACGATAAAACAGGGAAGAGCCTATGAGGGAGAGAGAGAGAGAGAGAGAGAGAGAGAGAGAGAGAGAGAAAGAGCTCGCAAAAGGATTGTACGTGGAAAATACAACAGAGGCGTTAACGTGACGTAGCAGTGTTGCCAATTGTGTAGGATTTTTCTGGTAGTGCGACCTTACTTACATACGCAGGCACACAACTACACATGCAATTATGTACATTACGCGTATGGTTCGACTGGCTGTGTGCTCAATACATATGCAATGCTTCGAGTGATAGGGAGCGACGAGGAAAAGTTAAATGGGGAGAGAGAGAGAGAGAGAGAGAGAGAGAGAGAGAGGTAGGGAGACTAAAAGAAGCCAGTGTTACTAACATTTTACAAATAATAGTTTTCAATCTTAACTTTAATGTTGCTCTCAATTTTCATTCCTAAGCTAATACCTCGCAATAGGAATTTCGTTAAATTTATTACTTGTTTACTGAATAATATAAAAATAAATTCTACCTGAAGCCTAGCAGTTTGAAAATTGTTGAAGGTTATGCTGCGAATATATGAAGTATATGACTCGAAGATAAGACTATGATTCAACAAACGAGTTTTCAAAACTTTCTTCCTTTTCTTTTTCTTCCTTTACCTTATATATTTAAGAGCATGCGATTGGTCTTAAAAATTAACTGTTATTTCGCATATTAAAATTATAAAACAATTCAATCGTTATTTCATATTATTCACAAATCTCAACAATAATTTCAAATTCTGACGTACTATTTACGTAAATATCCAATTTATTTTGCGAACCTAAACGCTATTGCTTATTATTAGCCAATAGTAACGATATTGGTAAACAAACGAATGCGAGCGAAAACTTTTTAAACGATATAGTACACGACGGTACACTATTAACTTCATCAATAAGCATTAAAATTGAGTAAAAATTTTCATATTGAAACCGAAATTGAAAAAAAAAATAATAATAATAAATAAATTACAGCTTACGTTATGCATTAATTTATGCTATTAAGCAAGTTGAATCATTCCGGCTCGTAAAAAGCAAATCGTATCAATGACTAATTTTTCGTCAAACGATGTAATTCATCCATAAAAGCGCAATATTTTGCGAAACAATAGCGACGGATAAGATGACAAGGCGAGCCACGATAAAAAATCAAGTATAAGCAAGCGATAAGCGCACGTGTTGTCGCGTCCTCGTGACGAATCGATAGTTTCAACTAAGCGTTCGGAGGCTTTTATTGAAATTTCGATATTTCCTTACTGCGTGCATACCTTGCCATCCATGTGCACGTACACCTGGAACGGTAAGCCGAAAGCAACGGTTACTTACGGGCATCGGGAGGGGGTAGGGGTTCAGTGGGGGCGAAGGAGGAGGAGGAGAGCGAATGCTCGATTACGCCTGTCAACTCCAATGTGAGATAACGGGCACAGTGGTACACGTTATTACGATCTGCACGGTTTTTGTTCTCTTTCCGTTGATGTTTATTTTCAAGCCATACGTGTTTCATTGTTACGCGCATGAAAGTGAAGAAAAAACACGTTTTGTTCGAAAATCCGGTCTTAAATAAATGATGTGCGCTTTTCAAGTTGAGTAAGCTTGTCACTCGATCGTTATTCGATCGAAATAGTTATACGAGCTTTTACTTGAAAGTACGTCGGTAATTATAAGTTCTCGAGACATTTAAATGCTTTAGAAAAAGGCCATTCAAAAGTTATGTACTTTTGAAAATGTTGATCAGTAGCTTTATTTTTATGACGAGCCAAAGTTGATTCAATGTGATGTACTTTTATCTTTTATGCTCTTCAAAATTTTAAAATTATTTATAGCATTCGTTGTCGTCGTCGTTGTTGTTATTAATTGATCTTATTAAAAATCGTTTTTCCTTTGACTCTCAATATAACTGAAATCGCCAGTATGAACGAGTGACGCAAGAAAATGACTTATTATTATTAAAAATAAATATTATTCTGCATGTATTGGGATAAATTATGTATTTTTACGACCGACGAACGTGTCTTGTAAAAAATTACAGAATCTATAACGACCATTAAATAATAAACTACATTTTCGTTAAAATGTGCAGCCATTAAATGTTAGAATTTATTGGTGAAATTAATGCCGAAATGAATTGCCAAACCATTACTCAAGATAATAATTTTCGAAATTGAACTTGTATCAGTTACCGAACGATTGCCTCAGAAAATCCAAAGATTACCCACAATTAATTCTCCCACCAAAACTCATCGAGTGCTACACTTTCCAAGCGCGCCAAATTCAAAATCTTACATGCGCACCAGAGTACCGACTCACTATTTACCTCGCCAATTCATATTTGCACGTTGCGTAAAAACGTGTCGTGCTCGCTTCTAATGCGACGCGAAAGTGAAATAAAAAAGAATAAACACAAGTCACGTGCACACGTGTGCACAATTTGCTGTCTACGAGCAATGACAACCACGAACTTTTATGATAACAAAAGTATTTATTTATTTTTTTCTTTTTTCTTTCTTTTTTCTTTTTTTGCTCTAGAAATCAATCGGAAACGAAAATTTATATAATGACGGTAGAATGAAGCTCGACTCGTGTACCACTAGCGGCAGCGACTTTTTGCGCTAAAAAAGAAAGGCGAAAATTTTCGCAAGTTTCTAACTCGTACTATCAGGGATTTTGCGTCACGACCTTTTCTCAGTCGCTGGCAACAACGCGGATGACGTCGGCTCGGGTCCTCGTTTCGTGATCGACGATATTATATGCACCGAGTCCCTGCAGCAGAGCTTGCGAAATGTAGAACTAGCGTGACCTAGTATTATGTCGTCGTTTGTTATTGCTCTGTTTTTTTCATGCTTAAAAGCTTTTTCCACTGGAGAACCTCATTACATTGTTGATCAATATACCCACACAGACACACAGACAAACAGACACAGAGAGAGAGAGTGAGAGAGAGAGTCATATATGTATTTATTTTTTCATAATGTTTTAAAATGTTATTAAATTGCGTATTAAATTACGGAAAAGTGGGGTGACATTTTGTTACTTTACCATTTAATGTGTTTAATCAAGAGCCAATATATATTTTTGTCAAAACAGCCTAATTCTCTTGTATACATTTTACAAACAAACAAACAAACACACAACAAACACACACACACACACACACACACAAATATACAATTATATGTGTGTGTTTTTGAGTTCGTGCGCGCGTGTGTATATGTACGTATGCATATAGAATATGGAGGAATTAAATTAGGTATTAACAAGGACTTGAAAACATCTTTGTAAGAAAACAACAGTCGTTAAAGAAATACGTTTTAATCATTCAATCATTAAATTACACAGTGACGGAAATTCAAAAGGTCGGGTATTACTTACGTACAACTAAGCTCGCGAAAAATTGGAATTTCTAGTTTAGATATTGACGACCAATTTATTTTAGTAAGTTGATGGAAAATATAATAAATACATATATTCTATTCGTCACCATGCACCTACAATTAACGAACGTAATTATCAATGCATCAGTTTTACCAAACAGTTTTTAATTAACAAATCTATTAGGTGATTGATCGATTTTAAATTAATGATGCAAATAACGCAAACGCGCAAATTGAAATAATTGCATAAAAAATCTTAAAGGGAATCTACGCACGGAGACAAAAGTACAGGTGACGATAGATTTTGGTTTAACAAAGGATTTTTCAGGCTATATTAATTTGTAATTTATATACTTTCGGTTGAAGAGGGGCAGGCAGTGATGACGATAAAACCCTGCATTATTATTGAATTATTATCGAATACTTAATAACTTGATCGAACCTTAGGATTTTCCATTACCTTTCACCAAAGACTAATTTTTCTATACACAAATCCCGTTAAAATAAATGAACTTCAAAAAAAGAAAATACCACCGCGATATTATCATCGTTGCCGATATACAATTTTACCGTTAAAAATATTCAATACTTATTCGATCGGATGTCTATATTATTGTGTAAAAAAATTAATAAATAAATAAATAATAAAAATACAAGGCGTTTATATATAAAATTATCAACAGGGCGCTACTTTATCTCTTTAATTATTAATTTACTACAATTGTCTCAAAAGCCTTTGAGCAATTCATAAATAATTATCGTTGCAAAAACAGTTCCAAGTCTTTTTGTATGATTTAATTTCAAAAATGTTTACCCAGCAATGAATGTCAGCGTTTTGCTTTAAAATTATATTTATTATGCTTTCGTTAAAATTATCGATTTGCGTAGGTAACGAAGTTGAAAAGTTTTGTAAAAACGAAAAGCATTTGCATCGACAGGCCTCTTTACCCAAGACCACAGTTGAAAATAAATGGACAACTAAAGAAACACGCGCGAACGTTTGTTTGTACAGAGTCCAATAACCGTGGTATGCATTTTAAAAAAAAGGAGTTTTTACGCCGAGTACGATCATTCAGGTATTAAATCATCAGGATTATAAGATGATGGCAAAAGGTGAATATTACTAGACGCCGCCACCATAATACAAATTGCATCAGGACGAGGAGTGGGACTTTTCGCGTATTGTAGACGGGCAGGCAAAACACCAGAGACATTATCATCGCACTGCATTTGAGGATCTGAAAAAGCAGGGAAAAGGATACGAAAGGATGAGTTGGAGAACGAGGGTAGAAAGTACGTGCTTAAATAGTCAGAGAAATAGAGATAGAGATAGAGAGAGAGAGAGAGAGAGAGAGAGAGAGAGAGAGAGAGAGAGAGAGATATTTAGGGGGGGGGGGGGGGGGGGGCG